GCTCCACCAAAGGGACCATTCCGTATGTGCACCAATGCGACCAATTTCATACGCGCCTGTGCTTTATCTTTTTTGCGGGGTGGAAAAAAGAAGAGGAAAATATCACCTGGCCAAGGTAAGGGAAAAAAAATTTATTACAACTCAGAACGGTGAAGTTTTTGCCGAAAAAAAAAAAAAAAAAAACAAATCAAATCAAAGAGTGAAAAACACATTTTCCTCAGTGGGGATAAAACATACGGAGGGAAAGGCCCAACAGTTAAGCAAACGAAACCTTATCAAGTGAACAAAAAAATAAAAAAAAAAACCAAACGAAGAGAAGCGAAACCACGATAACCAACGTGATGAAGTATGAGAGACTTGTCATCGAGAGACAGCCCCGCGAGTGAAATGAGACGATGCAAAGAGGTCTTTTGTGTATGGGGAAAGGCTAAACTGTGACATGGCGCGTCACACTCAAATGGCGAAATGGGAATACGAAGTGTGGGGGAGAAGGTCGACGAGGAGGACCAAGAGGACGAACAAGACGAAAAGGACCAACAAGACGAAAAGGACCAACAAGACGAAAAGGACCAACAAGACGAAAAGGACCAACAAGACGACGCTACATTTCGAAGCATCACTGACCGCGTTCCTGCGAGGTCCCCATTGTCCACACCACCCCAGTTAGCCAACCATGAGAAAAAAAAAGACGTTGCGCCGAAATGCCAGGCAGATCGCAGAGCGCCTCAAAAAAATCGACCAGGAGTGTCGTCAGTTAAGCAAACAGATTAGGAGAGTACAAAAGGAGAGGAACTCATTTGTAATAACCACCGCTTTACTAAAGAAGTACCACTCTTATGTGGACACTAATTTGATGAATGCCGTCTCCATCTTCTCCTCGAGCAGCGTCTTTGTAAAGAGCTGTGGGATTGTTTTTTCATCGAAAACAATTTTGGACGACCCCAACGATGCGACTGAGGATGGATGCTGCAGTGGTCATGCGGAGAGGCGTCATTCGGACTGCGCCATGGGGGGGTGTCATATGATCGTGGAGGGGGCGCTTCCCGTGAGGAGCAAACTTCTGTGGAGGGAGGCGGCCTGGGGTTCCCCCCCAATGGTCGGCTTTTCCGATGTTTGTAGTTCCCCCAGTGGCCCTTCCCCACTTGGCAGTAACGGAGTATCCGCGAAGAAGTCGAAATTTGGAGCGACCACTTTTCCCCGTGACGGAACGATTTGGAGCGACTGTTCAGGGGGCACGCATGGTGAGGGTAGCGATGAGTTTGGGGAGGCGGAGGGCCAAAGGGGAGAAGTGGACCCAGGGAAGAGCAGCCAACCGTTTGGCCAGAAAGGGCGAGGGGAGGGAAGAAACCAGGAAAGAAGCTGCCAACAGAGCCGCGAACAGAGGTGCGAAAAAAAAAACTTCGCGGTAAGACCAAACCATTCGTACCACTCTGGTGAGCGAGGGGATTCCCCCCCCCACGGACTCTTCCTCCACTCTTTTGAAGAGAACACAAAAGGGGGGAACAAAGAAGGCACTCCGCAAAACGGCAGGCGTGATGAACGAAGCGTGCCTCACCAGTTAAGTCCCCTTAGTGTTGCGTTTAGAAATGGTGATAAAAGGAAATGTGCAAAATGTGTAAAATCTGCAAAATGTGCAGGATGTGCCAAATCTGCTGCCTCCTCCTTGCACTCAGCGGAGGGTCAGCCCATGCCCCGTGTGGGTACACACGAGAGCGATGGCGATGATGATGGCGAAAATGATGCTCAAAATGATGCTCAAAAGGATGGTCAAAAGGATGGTCAAAAGGATGGTCAATATCATGGCCAAAAGGATGAGAAGGAAAGACAAAACGACGGAACTTATTCCGACTCGTACATTGATATGATCAGGAAGGGAAAAGTCTTTTCCTTTTTTATGAACACCACTGAAAAGAAATACCACCCCTTTTCCCATTTTGTGCACAATGTAAAGAGGATTTTCTTCCTCAGTGAAAAGGAGGGAAATCAAAATGGAAGCGGCACAAATGATATAGACAAAAGAGAACGCATGACTTCGTTAAAATTTCGATGCCTAGTGAAGTCCAAAAAAATCGTACTGTACGCATGTGTGTGTCCACACTGTGAAAAAAATCTGTTCCTTTTGCTAAAGAAGAGCGGAAGGAAGAAGATCGTGCCCATGGTTTTGTCCCCCACCCAATTTATCGCCATAATTGCCCAATTGAGAGGGAAGTGGAGGGGTGCAGGCGAAGGGGGGATGGCTACGGGGGGTAAGGACATCCCTCACCTGGATATCACACATCTGGACCCCCATTCGCTGGAATATTTTTGCGACTCCGTGATGGCCCCCCACGAGACTTCCAACAACAGCGGCGAACATTTTTGCAACTGCTATGTCGGGATGGACGAGGGGGGCGATGCCCTGTTCGGGGATCCAGACGTCCTGGCCTATTTGTGAGGGCCAACCGGGAGACAAATAAAAGCGGTACCCTCTTTGCCAAATCTGTGGAATTTTTCCAAGATTGTCCCCATACCGCTGTGCTGACGAGGCTGGCCGCTCATTGTGCAAGCCGCTGACAACCCATCAAAAAAAAAAAAAAAAAAAAAAAAAAAAAAAA